GTCCAATTTGTCTATATTTTCATGTTGCGTTGGCAAACTGGCGAAAAGTGTTGATTTTTCCTTCGTGACCCACTTCTATTGCTCAGGGAGGTTGAAAAATACATGTTATCAAAGGCTTGAGGCAAAGTGCTGAATATTCCACCTCGAGCAGCACATATATATTGGCAGCGATCGAGTGTACTAACTTAAACAAGCAGATAAGAGACCGATGGAAAGAATGAGATAGAAACTGGAGGATGAGGATTGCGGACTAAACGGCAGTCTTGGATAAACACTTCCAGCACAGGGAAGTAGAATTATTGTAAGTGAAAAGTTGGAAGTAGACAACAGAAAAGGATATATGAGCATATTAGAAGATGTTGTGATCGCGATATCATAGGACAAAGTAAATACCAAATCAGATAACATGCTTGCTTAAAAAAGGAAATTGTCCTTTTATACAGTGTCTCCTCTAGGTCTCTTTTTCCTATTTCTCTTTTACTTTTACAGACATCTGATCATCAGTTGGCTGAGGCCACAAGTAAGGCAGTCGGCACCAAAACGAAGCCCAAGGCCCTCCGAAAATTGAAGCTGGGCCTTGACCTAACCACAATGCATATGCAAGCCTATCTACCGCCTGGCCGGCTCACGGCGTTACTTAACGAGATCCGTGCAGGCGGTCACGATAGCCAGGCAATGGACGAATTAGAATATTTATTCACGGAGGCTTCGCTAGAGGCTAAACGCCGACAGAAGGAGGAAGAGAGGCAGCAATCGGAGATCCGGGCCAAGGAGGTGGCAAGAAAGTAAATTTATAAAATATAAGGCTGAGTTAGTTATTAATTAATATAAGACATTTTCAGGACCAAATTTTGTGGCCTGGACTGAGGTTGATCCGTTTAGAATGATTTGAAGTAGATTGGACTGGAATGAAAACAAGTGAATAAGGAAGTTTGACCTACCTTAAATAGTGAATATAGTCTTTGCAATAGCGAATTTAGGTAGTTTCTGACAGCACTCATTTATTTTACTTTTATAAGTAGAGTTTCGAGACTACTAGTAAATCATATATGTGAGGTACATTCTCCCAATTTCGTTTAAGATGATAAAAGCCTGCTGGTTTAATCTTCCCACATAGATATAAGTAGAGTTGATGTTTCCAGTGAATTTCACATAGGCGATTACGATGCCGGAGAAACGTCTGTAAATGTACCAAGTCCACGGTCTGACTCTGGAAATTA